GTGCTACAACCAGCCTGTGGGCCGCACTTCAACTACATTTTTACATTAGAGCATTCAACACCGAAAGATCATCTAACAGCTGATTTTTCTGTTACGTTACAGCTAAATCACAATAATGAATATGGTCTTTACTTGAGGGTATAATTAAAATAGTCCTTGTAGACTTTTATGCACAAAACAGAAATGTTGTATTTCTTTCCTTCTACCTGCAGGAACAACCTAGAACACATCACCTCACCAGATTTACTGAGTATAGATGAAAGTAGTGATTGAAACAGATTGTATTTCAGTCTTTAAGCCCTTCAGCTGGGAAGTGAAACTGAGGATTTATTGATAATTTAGAAGGCGAGGGGAAATTTGGTACAGGATCATCCCAAAGAATAGAGGCACGTTCCTCCCTTAGTTTGTAACGCTGTGTCTATAAAGGCTGTGATAATTTAAGGCTGTAATGAAAGGCTGTGCAGAATCTCAGCACATATATTATTCATTAGACTTCACTTCAGTCAGCTGTGTTGTTTCACCGCAGTACAGTACAGGCTTCAGTAAAAGCCTCTGGGAGACAGCTTGCTCACTAATGATGCTAACATAAAGCAGAGAGCTGCAAAGGAAAAGCTTCGGCTGTCTAATGGATTCATCTGTGAAACAGGAGAAGAGCTGAAGAGAAAAACAGGCAGAGAGGAAGAAGAAGAATGAAGTTGGGAGAGGCCAGTTAGCGAGACAAGAAATGAGTCCAATTAGAAGGATGACAGAGCAGATCCAGAGTCGGAGAATGAGGGCTTCTCTTCTCCATCCCAGTGGGAGCGGAGTCCTGCTGGGTGTGTATTCCTCTCACTCCGCCCTCCCTTCCCCCCGCTTTCCACAGCAGCTTGTTGTCGCCCTCTGTGGCTGAGAAACAGCTACTGCACTCGGGTCAGGTGGCACTGGTGGGCCGGCCGTTGGGCGACAAACAGCTTGCGCAACCCCGCTGACGTCACACGTCACTGTCTGTCACCCAGTGCGCTGGATCTAGGAGCACACACACAAACACACACACTGCAGACAAAGGCTTCTCCTCGCTGCTGTGTCTCCTGACTTTCCCAGGTTTAGTCTGCATGTGTGTGTTTGTCTTTGTGTGTCTGTGTGAGTGAGTGAGTGTGTGTGGGCCTGTGAATAGCAGTGTGGTTCTCTGTGATAAGAGCGGTTGAGCTTTATGACCGGGCAGTTTTCTGCTGTGTGTTGTGGTTTCACTTCTAACCTTTCTGTTTGTGCAGTCTTGAGCTGCGATGACCTGCAGGTTCATGAGTTTCTACGCCGGCCTGTACTGATTTTATTTCATTTCTTTATTTATTTGTTTGAGTATCTGAGCTGTGAATATGTGTGGTGTTTGAGTCTTTCTAAATGTATTGACTTTTAGCTTTAGCCTGTTGATTGGACAGTGAGAGGAATTTGGAGGAGTCTGTGATAATCCTATTTTATTTCCTAAATTATTAACCGAGAAATCAAATAATCAGCAAAAGGGAATCCACAGTGGAAATAAATATTTGCAACACACATTTGTACTGAGGTCAGCTTGTCTCAGCTTTCAGAGAAGAGGTCAAAGAGAATATAAATGGGAGTAAAAGATGCATTTGTGACATCTTGGTAAACACATTAAACACTTAGCTATGCAGCTGCAGCACTGACAGCTCATTATTGCAAATGCTTCACTTGTGGACGGGGTTAGGGTTCTGTTTCTGCATTTCAAATATGTCCCCTGAACGTCTCACATGCAGGGAGTTGACAGAGCTGCTGCTAGTTGTGATAATCTAAGAAGAAGAGCTTTTCGTCTGCCCCGAGGAAAGACAGTAGGCACAAAACATGAAAAGCATTCCATCAAAATACCTCAAACTTGGCACCGCATTTACTCAACAATACAGCCGACAAATATGAAGCAGGCTGGATTAACGGTGAAGCGCGCACACCCACAGACACACATAGTGACACTCCTGGATATATTCAGTACATTAACAGTCCTCAGTTGCAGTTTTGAGTCAGGACTTTTTATATCTTTGTTTGTTGTTGCTGTCAGAGCAGGTTTGTACTGTTAAACTTGTGGCAAAGTAGAACTAAGCAAATTGTGTTTGGGCTCTTCTAGGTGGTCTCTCCAGTTCTGCAGACAGCCGCTCAGCAGTGGTCCGCTACAGCAAGGACCAGCGGCCCACGACCCTTCCCATCCAGCCCTTTACCTTCCACCACCAGTTTGCAGCTAAAGCCCCCCAGCCCAAGCCCCTGGCGCCCCTGCTCACAGGCTACATCTCTAGCATGCAGGCCCGCTCCAGCTTGGGCTCAGGCTCTGGGTCTGGAGGTCCAGTCGGGCAGGACGGCGACGACGCAGCTGAGAAAGTCCACAGCTTCCAGGGTTCTCTCATCACAACGGCTCCTCCTCCTGGATCGGTTAGGCCCTCGCCTCTTGGGAGTTACTCCCCGGTCCGACTCCAGGGAGCACCCAGCTCCGGGACCTGCTCCACCTGCACCCCCAGCCCTAAGCCAACGCACAGCCTCTCCTGCCCCCTTTCAGCCGGTCTCGGCCCCCTGCAGACCCCGCCCACGATAAAACAGGCGGGGGCATCAGCGCCGTTACCCCCTACTCCTCCTCCTTCATCACTGGGGCTGAAGAGAGGGGCGGTGCCACCAATGCTGCCAGCAGTGCAGGGACACTGTTTCCGCCGTGGAGGGCTGCCCGGCTTACCAGCGCTTCACAGTGACTCTCTGAGCCCACTGGGCTGCCTCGACTCTGCAAAGCACGAGGAGGGCAACAAAGGGCACGCAGCCAGGACACATAATGGTACGCCCATAAACAAATCTCACGTTTCCGTTGAAAACTATTCATTAAATCCCTGATGAGAAAATGCTGCTTTAAAATAGGTGAACAGTTTTTTTCACTGTTCACACTTTGCTTTCACTTTGACTGAGGCCATCTTCCTCTCGTCGTCTCTCATGCCTTTACATTTTCCTTCTTTTAACTGTCAGCCCTTCGTTACAGAATCGCTCAGCAGGTTTTGTCCTGATGCAGTTGGTTTATAAAATCTGCATTGAATTGAAGTTCTGTTGACTTACTGTCAAAAAGAAGCTCCTGTAGATTCTTACTGTTCTCTTTTTCTCTTTCTTCTCTCCCTCCATGCATGACCTTAAACTTTTTCCTGTCCTCCCTTCACCTTTTCCACACGCCCATCTTCATCTGCTTTGTTCCTGCGTATCATTTGCATCTGTCTCATCAACAAACCCTAATCCGACCCCTTTATCGCAACCCTAACACCTCCCGTCCCACAACAGCGCACCACCTCTCTCCTCAGGCTCTCAAATGGAGGGAGTACCGCCGTCGAAACCCTCTGGGAGTGGAGAGGGTGTCGGGGTGCCATGCTTCTGCTGGATTGGGGCCGCGACCTGCCAGACGCAACGTTTTTGATTTCCCTTCGGTCCCCTCTGGCCACAAGCTGGGACGACTCAACGGTGCTCAAAAATCTCTTGGCACTGTTGAGACCTGCAAGAATATCAAATATTTAAACAATAGACTCAGATATTTTAAGTACTGGCAGTATTAGTAGGCTCATATAAGTGTGCTCCTTACCTCAATGCCTCTAATAGTGACTTGGTGTGTGTCTCAGCAGTGGGCCAATCAGCTAAGCTGCAGCAGAGCTACAGCGACTTCCTGTCCGACTACTTTTCCCTGACAGAGAAGCCGCCTGAGGAGTTCTGCCTCTCCCCGGACGCCTCCACCTCCTCCTCTTTGTGCTCGTCCTCGCAGTCTCACATCTCTGTTGACCTGACGCAGAAGAGAGGTGGGGGTTCTGTGTGTGTGTGCATGCCTATGTGTGTGTATTCCTATCTTTGTGGAGCCCAAAAATTGGAAGTTTACTATACTTGTGGGGACCAAAACCCCAGTCCCCACAAGTTTGAAGGAATTTTTCTGACTCCAAATGTGGTTTTAATGTTTAATTAGGTTATGGTTAGGTTTAGGGTTACTGCTTACCGTTCTCCACACACACCAACAAGCGGGTCTTTATTCTAAGAAAGTGTGATGGTGTTGTTGTGCCTCTGGGCTCACAGGCTGCAGGGATCTCCCAACATTTATAAATATTACCGTCTGTGAGCGATACAGAATTAATCGATTTGTTAGGAGAGTTCACACTAAATTCAAGCTCCCTTAAGTCTTTCATACAAAAGTGCACTGTTCTCCTTTTTTGCTTTTCCTTGTCTGGTAACTGAATACGAGTGTGATTC